CTCCCTGCACCATTCCCAAACAAAAACCACGTCAACTCACCCATCACCGCCAATAACCCCAACACCATCCACTTCTCACCAGCTCTCGTCAAAATACGGGCCCATGACTTACTTGTAAACGCCGTCAGGAATGTAGATCACAATGCGCTTCGTGTTGCCCTTCGGTACCGCGTTCACAGCCTGCTGAACAGTCCTGTACGGCCCTTTCTGCTTGTTCACATAAATGGTCTTCCCCTTCGGTGCCGCCTGTGTTGTCATAGTCTCGTCGACGCCCAGAACACTTTGCTGCTGCTTCTTTTCGTACTCGACGCGGACGGATTCTAGCCACTTATCCCACGACGAATCGCTGTCGCTTCCCTGTCCGGAGAGAGTTCTGAACTCCGCTGCTGACGCGGGCTTCGCAACCGAACATACGGCGACTAAAATCACCAGTGCCGAGAAAATGCATCTTGACATGCTCCCCATTGCGGGTAGATCAGAAAGATTTCGCCAATGCACTTCGCAACGCACCACTGTGCTGATCAGACCGAAATTGTGAACCGTGATGTTGGCGCCTGTGCGAAAAATCCCTGAACTACCTCTCGGCACCCTTCGCCTGATCCCAGCGAGGAACGAGAAGTGGGAGACTTGCTGCAGTCGAGGGACCGCGAGGGGTTTTAAAGCGAGAAGACCTCACCACGGTCCATAACTGCGAGTTCGTCGCGAAAGGAGGCGGTAAACCATGTGAGAGAGCCCAAATATAGAGCTGCATACTTTTTCTGAGACATTCGTTTCACAATAGCCTCCACCAAACAAACACTTCCGTGCCAGAATATTTCGGCTCAACAATCTACCTGAGATGAAACCCAATGATAGTAACTGCGAGCTCAGATAACCTCAGGTGGCATCTCGGAATCCTTGCACTGCTTCTCAACAAAAACAGCGCTCCAGGGGTAGGATTCACCTGGGCCCACCAAGCATCGAGCGTGAGGCACTGAGATGGACCTTCGTTGGAAATGCATAGTAAAATGGGATGGTGTCATTTAACGGTTCTGAGAGCTTCGACATGATGCTTGGTGCAGGAGATTAGTTCGACATATGCCGTGGAATCACATCCTGATGAGATTTTGTGATCATGGACACAGCAAAGCACGTTGTGAATGCACCCCTGAAGTGGTCATGCTCACTGCTTTTCGACGAGTGCAGACTTCAGTGTCTTGGTTTAGAATAAAAACAAAGAGGACAGTCAATGCTAACAATCAAGCAACCCCTCCATTTGACTGTCGAATTCAAATTAGTATGGATGTTAATTAATAGTATTTGCAATATTAGTAAGTGCATATGAAAGGCATCCAAAAAATTTGCAAGTATTTCAAATTTGTTCTTTTGCTTTTTATTAATCACGTTTTTGCAATCCAAATACCAACCACCAGCATGGAAACAATAGAAAATAGAAGAATCAAGTCCGAAAGGGCATTCTTCAAAATCTTTTACAAAGTTTGTTCTAAACTTACTAAGAAAAACAAAAACAAAAAAGTATATTATATATGTATATTTATATATATATATATATACACATCCAAAAAAAAATTCTTACAATTATATCTTAAGAAGTATATATTAAAGAATTCTTAAGTAAAAGTTATTTAGGACAGACATGTTTTACAGACATATATATATATATATATATATATTTGACAAGATGTGGTGCATGTAGTATCATAATTATAGAAGTAAGTTTTGGTGTTTGGTAATATTCTTGAAGATTAAAACTATAACTAATAATATTTTAGATGTATTTAATGAGAGTATTTATAAAGATTTGAATAATTGTGAAATAAGTAAATCGTTTCTTTGTCTCAATATGAAATGTTATTAATTACTTAGAAGGCCTATCTAATATCTTTGTATAGAGTTGAGATTGGAATTTGTATTAAATAACATTTTGGATCATAGACTTTATGTATTTATAAAGGAATTTTATAACTTTGTTGTAAAATTTACTCTTTTCTTAAATAAAATGTTGTTCATTTAAAAATTTCTTAAACCTCATATCTTACTAAAATATTTTATTAAATGATATATTTATGTGTATTTTAAAATTATATCTTACAAAAACAATTAATTTTCATATTATTCTTGAAAATTTTTAAATATAATTATTGATTTAAAAGAAATTAGGTATAGAATTTTCTTAGCAGTCTTTAGAAAATCCTTTCAAGAAAAAAAAAAAATTAGACTAAAATGTATATTTTTTTCAATATATTTTTAATTTTCTTAAGAATAGATAAAATTATTGATCTATACTTTCAAGTGCAGATTTTCAACCAAATATTCTAACTTTAACAAAATATTTTTAAAAATAAAATAAAATAAAATATCATTTCAAAATCTTTTTCAGTAATACATTTTAAATTTTATAATATTTGTCTCTTAAAATTATTTAAGAGACTATTTAAAAAATTTATATAGAAATATTTTTAAAAAATAATTTTATGTATTTTATATAGTGTTTGTCATTTTTTTTTATACAAAATTTTATTATGACTTATTGATATTATCTATTGTGAAAATTATGTAAAAACTGTTCTTCTAATTAATAAGTAAGATTACAAGCATGTTGTTAAAATATTCTAGTTAATTAATTTTTGTTTAATTACGCTTCTAATCCACATTTAAGAATACTATTTTGTATTTATATAATAATAAGTAATATTACTTTTTTAAAATAAACTAATAATTTATATTTATTTTTTAAATATAAATTTAAGTAATATTTGCATATAAGTTAACAAAAGATAAATAAGATTAGAATAGTTAAGGTGTCTGATAGAATTTCTATTATTATTGTAATTTTGACAAAAAATGGAATTCAACTAATGTATTAAATAATCAAAAGAAGTACAATACAAATCCTAGACTTTATATCTAAGAAGAAAAAGTCAAGATTTTTATAAGAAGTGAATGTTTAATTTCTTATATTATTACACCAATATGTATAATTAATCACTTTGTAATATTTTATTACTATAATTAATTTCTTGAAATATCCTAAATTCTTACAAATGTTTAGCCATCTGTAATGTATCATATCTCATGAAAATGGACACTTTATCTGTAATGTGTTTTCCAATTTTTTCCTTTAAAATTTTCTGCACACCTTGCCCATATTCTTTTAGTCTTTTTTAAAGTAAAATTCTATTATAGAGATCACTTTAAATGTCTTATTCAAAGATATATTTCTTTCTTTTGTATCCTAATAGTTAATATACTAAGCAACTTTACAATACCCAAATTTTATAGAAATGTATAAACTGGGGATAAATATTCTTTCCATAAAAATGTATTCTAGGGTCCCCATTCCTACAATTCAGTTGTTAATTTGTGTGAGAGAAAGGTCACATAATTCTATAATTTACAAGCTTGAAGACGTTGCCAAAAATTATACAGGCTTGTTTCAAGCTTTTGGAGAAGATAAACAACACAATGTATATCAATACATGGATTTATTTTTAGTGATAGATGCTTCTCTTTTATGTTATATAAGCCAAATGATCATTGCTTCTTTGCAAGAACATGGTTGGGACCAAACATTGTTCTATTAGAAAAATTATAAACTAACAAGGTGTTTCATTTGCTTATTATTATATTAGTATTAAAAAAACTAGTTGCAAAAGCTTTCTGATTTATTTAATTAGTTAAGTCATAATTTCTTTATACATTATCCAAAGATATGCATTATGATTTAAGGTAAGTATACACAAAAAACCATAGAATTGGTTTATACATGTTATTCTTTGTCTTAATGGACTAGTTTTCGAATCTACACAAACAACTTTAAAAAAATACCTACAACTTGATTCTTCTAATTTTATAGAAGTAGTGCTTCTTGTACAAAGGATAATTTTTTATGCAAGTGGAGAATTCTAGATTGAACTTTTATTCAATTTTTATTTCTAGTTTTATTTATTTTTTTATTCTAATGGATTGTAAAAAATGAAAACCAATTGCCTTCTTTTATTCCTTCATACTAGATATAAAATTTAAAAATTACAATAGTTAGATGGTCACTTTTCAAGATATATAATGTATTGTTGTCTTGAACTTTAGATAAAACCTTATCTTATTGAAGTAGTTTTTTTCTAAGAACAATGAAAATAATAATATAAAAAACCATATATATCCAAAAAAAAATTGTTAATTGATATTTGATTATTTATTCTTAAAAAATAAGAATTTGAAATGGAGCTATGAAGAGGGTTTTAATCCTTTGGAGGCCTTTTGATTGTAAAGTGGTTGCATAATGAGAATTGAGGTGGAAATCAATGAAAGAAAATTTTGTACTTCTACTATTGAAATCTATTCCATATCTAATGAAACATTTTTTGAGAATTGAGCTTTAAATAATTACACACTTGAGACCACACCTTGCCTATTTTGTTCCATATTTTAGTGCCAATGTTCTACCTATGCTTTGATAATAGTATCCAAGCAAAATAGGACTGCCATTATGAAACCCTTTTTAATTTTTTAATGCAACAAATAAAATATGTAAGTAATTCAAAAAAAATTACCATACATGTATCAATTAAAACAAAGAAAGAGACACAAATATAAACTTGACAATGGTAGAACACCAACCTACCCTTCTATTGCTCATTCCAGCGGCCACACAAAATCAGCAGATAGCAATCCTAATTTCATTCATCGAAATCATAATTGTGCTTCTTTCATTTTGCAGTAGAGGAAGTATCGTTGGAGGACTTTCATCCCTGTAGGGACAAGCATTCAAATATGCGAACGAATATACCCACGAGGAGAAAGATTCCCACAAGGCTCCAGAGTCAACGCCGAAGCTGAGATCGGGCCGTGTCTATGCCGATCCATTCCATGCTTTTAGCTTTGCACAAGTGGGTCTTACAGCTCATCTGCAGCTCTTTTCTCCCTTCCTTTATTGCTCTTTAAAACCAAGGTCAACACGTCTCGAGGGTGCGTTAAATATCGTCCAGCTTATTCCGCAACTCCAATCCGCAACCCATTTCCCCCCCTTAATTCAATGAACTGGAGATTAATAGTAAGACAAGTCTCTTCTCGATGCTGTGGATGATCGAACACTGTTGAGGGTGTCTTGCAATCCATTCGACTCGAAGGTTCCCAACAACACGATTCTCATTGGGTGGATTTAGATCTAAGTTCTGACAAAAGCAAGTTCAGTTTTCGACAGTTTTAAAATAGGCGCATTCTGGATTACATTTCTGCAGTTTGAGTTGGCTTGCTTCCTTTTCAGTTGGAATACCACTCCAGCGTGAAATATGGAGATATGAATTTTGGGTTTGGAGAACTGGTGGTGCTTGGGTGACGAGGCGTTGTGTGAACACCAGATTGGAACTGACGAGTAGCTGTGTTCGGTGGCAGCTTCGTCTCGTGATCGAGGAGGACGGGACTCTGCCTGCCTCAGCTCCGCCTTGGCCTGAGGTTTTCTCCCAAGGCTAGGTCCCTACCAATCTGCTTTGTTTTGGAATGTTGACAATTATTTTGAACACACTTCTTGTCTGACTTTTGCAACCAGATCGGCGGCCATACCTTAGCAGACACTGGAAGCGATTCCAATGTCACAGTCCTGCAAGTGACTGGAGTTAGGATCCACTTCAAGCCTGTTGGCTTTGGTGAACATGAACGTCTGCCACACAATACACTACATGACCAACCGAACCTTGGGAAGCTCTGCGCAAGACACTCGAAGATGGCTTTCCTAAAAGCTTAGTAAGTTTATCATAAAATCCACTTTCTGTTGACATAGGTAAAACAAATATATGTAATTTCAGGGATGAATAAAGATCATTGCATGTTTTATTGGTGAAAGATCATCAAAGCATACATGCAATTAACCATCCAACTAATATGTGTAGGTGTATTACATGAAAATAAGTTACATGATATAAAATGTTATAAGTGTCTAGTGGATAAATTATTTTTTTATTTAATATTGTTTGTTTTTCGGTTGGTTTGTTTGTTTGTTTGATTGTTGTTTGATTGTTGTTTTTGTTTTTGTTTTTTTTTTTTTGACACAAAATGGGATGTATTAAATGCTTTGCTTTAAAAATAAAAATAAAAACTATAATGCTTCTAAAGTCTTAACACCTCTAAAGATGGAATGAGTTTAGAACAACTCTTAAAAAACTATATGATGGTTTCTAACATTGTTTCTTGATTTGTGAACTAAATATGATAAACTTTGTAGTTATATTTATTTTCTATGTATATATTTTTCTAATATTTTTCAAGATATCTATACCTTATTGTAAAATCAATTTTTTTTTATAATAATTTTGGTAATTATCTATATCATTCAATAGTATTCTAATATATTTCACTAAATAAGTTTATTTACTTGTTGATGACTTGATTTATTTTTGTATGATGGAAATAAATTTCAATTGCAACTAAATAGTTTACATAGAAGATTTTTAATATAAATACCAGATGGCTTTGATTTAATTTTAACTTAAAAAAATATCTTTTGAATAAAAATGATTTTGAAGGTTTATAATGCATAAGACCTAAAGCTATTTCATAAATTAGAGATCAGACTTAGTTCCAAATTATTTTAAGTTGAGATCATTTTTAAGAATTTTGTAAAACAATGTTTAGTAGATTCTATAAACAAAGTTGATATGTATATATATATATACATATATATGGAAGGAGTTATTAGGATAAGGATTCATACATTAACAAATATTCTTTGGTGACATGTCACATATATAAGCATTGCCTCTTTTCTAGTTTTTAGTCTCAATTATACATCCTTCCAATTGACGATAATAGAATATTACATTTTCACTAGTACTTAGAGCATCTTAAGTTTTAAAAAGCTTGATATTCTTGAAGGAGTTTATATCATGGTTTTGCTATATAGATTATTATATTAGAATTCTTATTCTATTTATATGCATAAATAATATTTGTTAATTTTTTGATTAATTTTGAAAAAAATATATTAATATCTTTGTTTGAATATATTGCTTTAGATATGATTATTAATAAAGCTATTTTGGCATAATTATTTGTTTATTTGATAAAAAACTAACATTATTATTTTTTTCTATTTTAGAGATTGTGAAGATTTTTATTTTTGTTGGTGTAGATACAATAAATTAAATATGTTTTTTATTGATTTTTTGTCTTTTATTCAAGATAAATTTCTTTCTCTCTCTCTCTCTCTCTCTCTCGCTATATATATATATATATATATATATATATATATATATATATAAACATATTAATATAATTAATAGTTTTATACATTCATCTAATAGATGTTGTTATTTCATTGGTATAAATATGTCAAATAATATTTCTAATGTATTGTTTTTTATTTAATTATAAAAATTATACTTCTACTATTGTTTTTTTTATAAAATAATATATTTTAGAATTATGTGTGTTTCTAATCTTTTACCCATTTATTTTTTTACCTTGTGGGATTACATTGGAATATGAATGATTGAAACTTTTGAGATACATTAGAAACTTTTATTTACTATTTTAAAAATAAATAATAGAAATTTTATGAAAAAAATTGATTTTATTTTAATATTAAGCTAATTTTAGATATTCTATTTCTAGTTTCTATGATAAATTCTAAGCTAATTTTAGATATTCTTTTCCATTTATGATTAAAAAGAAAGTACTGAGCAAAATCAACCCTTTAATTGGTTAGAATTTTAAAATCTTAGAGTATATGTTTATATTTTAATAAAAAATGAGTTTTCTACTTACTTAGATAGAAGGTTTTAGTCACATGTTTTACAAGTAGAGTCACAAGGACTTCTTATAAGTCAACTATATAGAGACAATTTACTTCTATAAATTTTCAACAAATTATTTTAGTCACTTTTGTACAAGTAAGGTTTTTGATGTTGTTCTATAAAAACATTCTTAGTTGCAATCACTGATTTTTTCAATACTTATCAAGCATGTGTTTATAATAGAATAAAATAAAAGATTTATATTGGAAAGTTTTTTTTTATCATAAACATTTATTGAAGAATATTTAATTTTATTAAATACTAATATTTTAAAAAGTTTTTTTTTTTTTTTTCCATCAAAATCATCATAAAAAATAAAATATATATATATATATATATATATATATATATATATATATATTAACTTTAAAATATTTCTACTTAAACCATCAATCTATTGTGATTTAGATTTTTTATATTGCTAATAGATAGAAGATTTTAAATGATTAACTACTAACCTTTATACCACAATAAATCTTCAATATTTCTCTACCTCTTTAAAACTAAGTATTCATTTCTTTTAACGATTAAAATTAAGTTATTTTTACATTTTTTTAATAATTTTTGTTCATCAACATTTGAAACTTCAATACATAACATGTGATTTTTTAAAATCATAACTTATAATTATGTATTTAAAATTAATAAAAAAGAATAAAAAGAATAATAGGCAATCATCTTACACTACTCATTCAAGAAAGAAACTATTAGTCTTTATTGACACATATCCATTGATTATTACTCTATTGAATGGATTTTTTTTTTTAAATTATTTTTATTTCAATCAAATTGGATATTAAAATTTAATATTTTCATTACACTAAATAAATAAAATTTTACAAGAGTTTATCATAGACTTTAGACAAGCTCAATTAATAAAAATAAATGCCAATTAGAAAGCTTGATTTAATTATAATTTTATAAAAATTAAGAATAAATTTGAGTGAATTATTTTTATTTAATTATGATACATTACATTTGGTAATAATGTTTATATATATATTTAAAGCACATTCATATGGATTTTTTGGACATTATTGAAGATAATAATGGATTCTTAATTATTTATTTTATTTTTGTTATTGACACAAACATATATATTTATTTCAATAACTACCTATATGATTAGATAGAATTAAATAAAAGTAATTTAATTTCATAATATCATTTAAAAAAGCTTTATAGAAGCTTTATAGATGTGGCTTTGACTTTATACATGTTTATAGGTTAGAAACTTGGTCAACAAGTTAACCATGTGTTACATGTATTGTTAGCTTATAGAATAAGATAACTATGTAGCATTGTTAGGGACATAGTCTTTAGAACCTTTTAGAAACAAGTTTCTAGAACCTTCTAGAAGCAAGTCTCTGGAACCTTCTAGAAGCTTCCTAGTTGATGGAAGTTACTTGAGAAGCTTCTTAAATAGGAGTATATATTGGAATCAAGGCTGAAGAGTTCTTCAATCTCGACAACACATCTCTTGGAGCTCTAGCTTACCTCTTTGGTGTTGTTCTTCTATTCATCTGATTAATCTAGTTCTTGTCAGTTCTTCTTGAACTTCTTGTTAGATCTTGAGCTTGTATTTCTGTGTCCGTGATAGTTTGTCGAGACTGCATTCACCTCAGATATTAGAGCTAGTTTCTTCTTCGTTAGAGTGTGGATTATCCCTCTGCTTGAAGGTGTACTAGCAATTTAGAGGTTGCGGATTACCCTCCTCTAAACTAATACTTCTTTTGTTATAATATTGGAGTCTTATTCTTCTTGGAGAGAGTAGATTACCCCTTTTCTTGAAGCTCTTAAGGCGTTTTAGAGGTTGCGGAGTACCATCTTCTAAACCAATATTGTTTATTTATAGAGTCATTTCTGTCCTTCTCTTAGAATGGCCGGAGGTCAAGACATTAGTATGACGAAAAGTTAGGAGTCGAAATTAGATGCTATCATGAATGCCCTCGCTACGTTATCACAAAGAACTGCAGAGATTGAAGGAGTCATGGCAAGGCTTCATAATGATGGAACATCTGGGATGGCACAATCTTGGCTGTACCAGCCTCAAACTTCTGCACTTGGAAAAGTAACTTTGCCTCATGTTCAACAAGCACCGCTGGTTCTACAACATAAGGAGCCCTGAGTTAGTCTTTCGGACAAGTTCGATGGTACGCATTCCAAATTTCAAGGATTCGTCAATCAAATCAGGTTGATAACAGTTTTACAGCTCGAATGCTATTCAATGGAGGAGTCACGTGTTGGGCTTGTTGGAACCTTACTTACAGGGCAAGCTCTATTATGGTTTGTTCCTTTGTTTGAGAAACGATCGTCCATACTAAATTACTTTGAAACCTTTTTGGAGGCGTTTGTGGAAGCATTTGGTGAATATGACAAGGTTCGATGGACTACAACAAAGATCCGGTCACTATGACAAGGGATGCGCTCTACATCAGTCTATACATCAGATTTTAGGCAATTAGTATGCGACATCAATTGAAATGAAGAAGCATTGATGAGTCAATTCTATTGGGATTTAAGGGACGATGTGAAGGTTTTGCTCTTAACTCTTCTTGATCCGTAAATGCTCAACAAAGCTATTAGCCAAGCTGTGAAGTGCGATAATCACCTATTCCAATGTCACCAAGAGCAACGCTCAAGACAACATACGATTTGCCACGCCCCAACTATATTGACAAGCAGCGTGAATTCACATTCAAAAGTAGAAGACATGTAAATTGATGCAGTACGTGTCAAATCCCTTACTCTAGAAGAAAAAAAGTGGCGTATGGAGGAAGGTCTATGCTTGTATTGCGATGAAGAAGGCCACAAAGTTGAAAACTACCCTAAGAAGTAAAATCGATGCACTATCAGGACCAAGGGCATGTATATTCAGGAAAATGAGGATGCCCAGCCACAATAGGAATCGTGCGGCTGGACAGTGAAATATTGCAACAACAACCAGGTTCCTTTCTTTTCGCTCAACCTGCCCTTTGTTTTATAATCCTTTTGTTTATTGGCCCTCAAAAACTGAGAACCTTATCATTATTAGATTCAGGAGCATCTGCTTGTTTTTTAGACGAAGAATTTGCGAAGCG